CAATACCCTCCCCCCAGGGTGACAGTAATACCCCCTCTCCCCCCAGGGTGGCAGTAATACCCCCTCTCTCCCTCCAGTGGCAGTAACATCCCCAGGGTGGCAGTAATACCCTCCCTCTCCCCAGGGTGGCAGCACACCCTCCCCAGGGTGGCAGTAATACCCCTCCCCCAGGTGGCAGTAGTACCCTCCCCCAGGGTGGCAGTAATACCTCCAGGTGCGCAGCAATACCTCCCCTCCTCAGCCTCCCAGGGTGGCAGTACTGCTTCCAGGGGTGGGCAGTAATACCCCCCTCCTCTCCCCCAGGGTGGCAGTAATACCCCCTCCTCCCCCCAGGATGGCAAAGTTACACCTCTCCCCCCAGGGTGCAGGCACACCCCCTCCCCCAGGGTGGTGGCAGTAATACCCCTCCCCCAGGGTGGCAGTAATACCCTCCCCAGGGTGCAGTATTACCCCTCCCCCAGGGTGGCAGTAATACCCCCTCCCCCAGGCGGGCAGTGCACAATACCCCCTCCGCTGCGGCAGTAATACCCCTCTCCTCCCCAGGGTGGCAGTAATACCCTTCCCCCCCAGGGTGGCAGTAGTACCCTCTCCCCTGGTGGCATACCCTCCCCCAGGGTGGCAGTAATGCCCCTCTCCCCCCAGGGTGGCAGTAATACCCCCTCCCCCCAGGGTGGCAGTATTACCCTCCCCCCAGGGTGGCAGTAATACCCCCTCCCCAGGGTGGCAGTAATACCCCCTCCCCCCAGGGTGGCAGTAATACCCTCCCCCCAGGGTGGCAGTAATATCCCCTCCCCCAGGGTGGCAGTAATACCCTCCCACAGGGTGGCAGTAACCCCCTCCCCCCAGGGTGGCAGTATTACCCTCCCCCCAGGGTGGCAGTAATACCCCCTCCCCAGGGTGGCAGTAATACCCCCTCCCCCCAGGGTGGCAGTAATACCCTCCCCCCAGGGTGGCAGTAATATCCCCTCCCCCAGGGTGGCAGTAATACCCTCCCACAGGGTGGCAGTAATGGCTCCTCCAGGGTGGCAGTAATGCCCCCCTTCCCCCAGGGTGGCAGTAATACCCTCCCTCCCCCCAGGGTGGCAGTAGTCATCTCCCTCCCCCAGGGTGGCAGTAATACCCTCCCCCAGGGTGGCAGTAATACCCTCCCCTCCCTCCAAGGTGTGTGCAAGTGCAATACCCCCTCTCCTCCCCCAGGTGGCAGTAATACTCCCCCCAGGCAAGTATTACCCTCCCAGGTGTGCGTGCACGTGCCCCTCCAGGGGTGGCACACCCTCCCCCCAGGGTGGCAGTAATACCCTCCCCCCAGGGTGCAGTATTACCCTCCCCAGGGTGGCAGTAATACCTCCCCAGGGTGCGCGGCCACCCTCCCCCCAGGCATGACCCCCTCCCAGGCAGTAATATCCCTCCCCCAGGGTGGCAGTGGGTAATACCTCCCCACACAGGGTGGCAGTGAATACTCTCCCTCCCCCAGGTGGCAGTAATACCCCCAGGTGGCAGTAATACCCCCAGGGTGTAGCAGTGCAATACCCTCCCCAGGGTGGCAGTAATACTTCCAGGGTGGCAGTAATACCCTCTCCCCCCAGGGTGGCCACCTCCCCCAGGGTGGCAAAATACCTCCCCCAGGGTGGCAGTAATACCCCCAGGGTGGCAGTAATATCCCTCCCGTGTGGTGGTGCAAGGTAATACCTCCCCCAGGGTGTAAGTGTGCATGCACTCTCCCAGGTGGCAGTAATACCTCCCCAGGGTGGCAGTAATGCACCTCCCCCCAGGGTGGCAGGTAATACCCCCTCTCCCCCAGGGTGGCAGTATTACCTCCCCAGGGTGGCAGTAATGCTCTCCCCCAGGGTGGCAGGTACTGGCTCTTCCCCAGGTGGCAGTAATACCCCTCTCCCCTGGCAGGGTGGCAGTAATGGCCCCTCCCCCCAGGGTGGCAGTAGTATTCTTTTCCCCCAGGGTGGCAGTGGCCTACCCTCCCCAGGGTGGCAGTGTAATACCCCCTTCTCCCCCAGGGTGGCAGTAATACCCTCCCCCTCCCCCAGGGTGGCAGTAATACCCTCCCCCCAGGGTGGCAGTAATACCCTCCCCCAGGGTGGCAGTAATACCCTCCCCCAGGGTGGCAGTAGTAATGCTGAGTAATCCCCCTCGCACATTGCAACATTGTATAAGTAGCCGCCCACCCATGACGTCACGCCTAGCCCCGCCCTCACTCTCGGAGCCCTGCGCTCTGCATTCTGGGCCAGCCGCCATGTTTTTCCAGGTTCCGGGGCGGCCGGGGGGCGGGGCTTAGCCACAAGATTCCAGAGAGACAGCAGCTCGGTGACACCCGGGGGCCGCCGGGACGGTAAATACGGCCACAGCCACCGGGGACACCCCAATAACTAACTGCCCCCCAGAGAGAGAGTTACCCCAATAACTAACTGCCCCCCAGAGAGAGAGTTACCTCAATAACTAACTGCCCCCCAGAGAGAGAGAGAGAGAGTTACCCCAATAACTAACTGCCCCCCAGAGAGAGAGAGAGAGAGTTACCGTTACCCCAATAACTAACTGCCCCCCAGAGAGAGTTACCCCAATAACCAACTGCCCCCCAGAGAGAGAGTGTTACCCCAATAACCAACTGCCCCCCAGAGAGAGAGTTACCCCAGCAGCTAACTTCTACACAGAGAGCACCGCCAGCAACCAACTGCCCCCATTGTTAGGTAAGCTGGGGCTGCTGGCTGAGCTCTTGGGGTTCCTGACTGGATTTGGGGTGTCATTGCTCCAGCCATGGATGGCCCTGAGGCAGCTGAAGGGGACAATGTCCTGAACCTGTGCCGCCTAGGGCTGGAGAACTTAAGTCAGGAGCTGGAGAACCTGAGCATGGAGCAGGTGGCAGAGGACAGGAGAAAGGAGGTCCACCAGCTGCTCCTCTCACACAACCGGATGATGGTCCTACCCCCACAGGTGGCCACCTTCTCCAACCTCCTGCTCCTGGACATCAGCAACAACAACCTGGCTTACCTGGGGGAGCACATATTGGGCCTCACCAAACTCCGAACACTGCTGGCCAAAAACAACCGCCTGGATGAGTTCTCCCTCCCCAAGGAGATGGGCAGCATGAAACTGGAGGTGCTCAACCTGAGCGGGAACCATTTTGAGGAGATACCCAGCCAGATCATGCAGCTCCAGACCCTCAAAACTCTCTCTTTAGGGGGGAATCGGCTGAAGGGCATCCCAGAGGAGATAGACAACCTGATCAGGTAGAGTCCTGGCTTACCTTTTTACACCTGATATCCTCCATGCTGGGACAGGGTACCCTTTCTATAAGTTAGTCAGAGTTAGGCTGTAGTTCTAGCTTATTACATGTAAATCTAGGTTGTCTCGTGGAACTGTGCTCTTGCAGCTCTTGCTGTGGACTCTTAAAGTCTGAAAATGTTCATGAATGGTGACTGGGACTAAAATAGTTCTTTACCATCTGTCACTCCAGTGATTGCTAATCTTGGCATGTTTCTCAACTGTTTCCTATGACCTTCAGCCAGCCATCACTGCTTTAGGTAGTACGCACTTTGTTCCTGTTTGTCAGAATTGTTGTCCATTGTGCAGTTCTATAGAATATTTTGGAGATTTATAAATAAGTTGCCGTTTTGTTTTCTTACCAACAACCTTTACCAAAGTACACGTTTTCCAACCGTTTCCGGACTCTTTATCTACTAAGTGCCACAAATAAGATTCTGAAGTCTGGACCTCTAGCGGGGCTCCATAAACTGGCGTACTTTTGTTCACTAATTAATAAACTGAAATTGCTAACTTTACGGCAAAATAAATGAACAGTGAAATCTGCTGAGTTGGAGAATTTTTCCAATTTGGCTATATAATGGTTTAAAATGTGCTGTGTGTTTGTTTGTTTTTTTGTTGTTGTTTTTTTTGTTGTTTTTTTTTTTTTAATTCTGAATAATTGTATATCTATTTCTGCTCTTTCCCTGAAAATAAGACCGGGTCTTATATTACATTTTCCCCTGAAAAACATACTAGGGCTTATTTTCAGGGGATGTGTTATATCTGGGAAAAACACTGGCAAGCATGTGATAGAAAGCAGGTCTACATTCTGGGGAATTCGACCAAGTTACTCGTGAATGGAATCTCGCAAATCTATGTTCATGGAAACTTCCCTGAACATAGATTAATTCACTCACAAATGGAATCCAGCGAATGTATGTTCAGGAAAAATTCCCCGAACATAGATTAGCAAACTAGCGACTAGGGCTTATATTACAAGTATACCCCGAAAAGAAGCAAGGGTTTATTTTTTGGGGGGGAAACCAGGTATTGTGCTGGCAGTGTTTCTAGTGAATTTATATAAATTGGGGAGGGGGACTATTTAAAATTGGGTCAAAAACATACATTTCCATAAAACTCAGAAAGTACCCCAAACTCCATGGGAACCACACAAAAGTCATATCCCCTGATAGCCCCAATCTGGGGGACCAACATATTGAAAAATCAACTAGATCGGATAAGGGGTTCACGTGTTACATGGAGGTCTTAATTTGACCGACCGCACACGATGCTCCTGCCCAGAAATAATTCCATGAAATTGGGCTGTGCGGTCGGTCTGTTTAGCAAAGTACAAAATAACAACGAATAAATGCACGAACGGTTCCCCTAGTTCGTAGGAACAAATCTACCGAATAGCGCTCTCCTGGCTGTTTGGTGAAAGGAAGCAGGCATTCGGGAAGTCGAGTGTCCGATTTTTGGTTCCGGACACTCAATGACGAAGTACTGCTGCCTCCTTTCGCACGAACAAGAAGGCCACCATTTTCTCTACTATACCAACGGCGGCCACACAGAGCACACTTAATTGGCGGTTTTCTTTGAAGTGAATGATCCAGGGGGGTGGTTGGTGTTCGGGAGTTGTATCTACCGAACAGGGAAAAAGAAAAGTACCGAAATAACTGGGGTACTTTCTTTACAGTAACGTTTATAAAACATAAATGACATTTATTAATTAGGGATTAGGCAAATCCGTTATATCTCCAAATGTTGATATCTTACTACCCTAAAACAAGCCAAGGCAAGTCTTTGTGTGGTTTTCATAAAATGGGAATTTACAAAGTGTATGCCAGGATAACAAGTTTGACAGAGGATGATGATTATGATTGTTTTTTTTGTTTGTTTGTTTTTTAATTTAGCAAAATGCTACATAATTTGATGTTAATGGGGTATTCAATAAACTGTGGAGTGTAAAGTGCAGGCTAAAATATCTCCGTTTTAAAATGTTTTTCAGTGTTGCAGTTTTTGATCTAAACTTTTCAATTCATTTTTTAACTTCTAATATTCCACAAACCTCTGGAATACCTGTTTAGTGACTGAATCCTATCACTGGGTTTTAAACGTGTGATGTTTGTGAATATGTAAGAGAATGAGAGATTTATAGTAGAAAACTCACAGATTCAACAGGGCAGGCATATCAAAGAAGATTATGGATTAACCTGTGGTCTTTCTACTATCGCTACTATTTTGCTACCTTGCTGTGCGGTGACCCGGTAGTGTAGTGGAGAGTAGCTTTAACTTAAAGGAGCACTATAGGGTCAGGAACACAAACATGTTTTGCTGACCCTATAGTGTTAACATGACCATCTAGCCCCCCTGGGCCCCTTATGCCTCCATAAATATAGTAAAAATCTTACCGTATTCAAGCCAGAAGCTGTAAATCTGCATGCTGTTAGACTCAGGAAAAACAAGCAGTCTGCTGACATCATCATAAGTGGTAGCCTGATCCAATCACAGTGCTTCCCCATAGGATTGGCTGAGACTGACAAAGAGGCAGAACAGGGGCAGGCCCAGCATGATTCAAACACAGCCCTGGCCAATCAGCATCTCCTCATAGAGATTAATTGAATCAATGAATCTCTATGAGGAAAGTTCAGTGTTTGCAAGCAGAGGGTGGAGACACAGTGCTGCCCTGTGCTCTGCTGACAGCAGATCTGAGTGGATTGAGGAGTTTTATGCCTCAACCAACTCGGAAGTCCCTCTGGTGGCATTCTGAGTGACTGCAACTGGAGGTGTTCCTAGCTTTCAATGTTAACACTGTATTTTCTCAGAAAATAGTGTTTACATGAGAGAGGCTGCAGGGAGCTGTAGTTCTCACCTGAACAATCTCATTAAGCTGAAGTTGTTCAGGTGACTATAGTGTCCCTTTAACTGAACCTGGCCCTTGTGGGCTCTGCCATCTTCCTCTGCAAGGTCATATTCCGTTACTGGAGCTTTGTCTGCCTGGAGCGGATGTCAGTGCTGTGCGTGAGAGTCCAACACTGATGTCATTGGGGGGGATCCTGTGGCCTCCATAAAAAGAGCATTTTAACTAGTGATGGTTAAAGGCTTGATAAAAGGTAACTCTGCCTCTCGTAAAGTGTAGGAAAAATACATAAGACTAAGTAGTTCTTATTTTGTCTTGTATCTTTTGAATGAGTTGTAATTTCAATGAAATTTAAGGGATATTAAAATTGGCTTTTACAGTTCTTTCAATGTTCCAATTGTTAAAATATCTGCTGACTTATAGCTTTTTGTTTTTAGTGGCGAACATTTTCTTAGTGGGCATCTCTCCTGTGTCTGCAGCTGTTATGACTGTTCTAGAGGTGCGGCGTGATGTGTAGTGCAGTATTAGGGCTGTAGTGGGGCCCACACTTTGCTGTGATCTATAGAATGCTGTAAGAAAAGGATGGGCTGCAGTAATTGGATTAAAGAGGGGGGCAGTGTTCGGAGCCTCTTTGCATTCCGTGGCTGCTCTCCCAGCTCCTCTGGTTTCATGCTGTGTTGGATACAGATCTTTCCAGGATCATTAAGGCTCTCACACTAGGTATGGAAACAAGTTCCTGCTGCCCCTAAAATAATTAGATTAAGCCAATTCAAGAATTTGTGCTGTGCTCATTTTATTTTCTATAGAAGCAGAGCTAGGTATGATGTGTGTATGGAAACGCCCAATTACTGTGATCGAAACAAACCAATCTATTATGGGAGAACCTGTGACTGTTTTGAATGGGGAGACAACATAGACGTGAAAGAATCTGTAAAAGATATTTATTGGTAAAGGAAAAGGTAATAATGTGACGGGCAGCTGTAGTTGGAAACATAGACGCTTAGATTTGTGGAATGAGTATTGAGGGAGCTGGTCAGAGATCATTTACTATGGACTCCCCAAGGATGGTGGAGATTCATTGGATGTCAGAGAAACGCGCTGCCCTTCCTATTGTGTTTTTATACCCCATCACTTCTAGATAGTAAGCTTTTCCGAGCAGGGTACTCATCAAACTATTGTTCCTCTGAGATTTTGTAATTGTCTCACTTATTGTTAAATTTCCCCTTTTTATAATCTGGTAAAGCAATGCGGTATATGTTGGCACTATATAAATGGTAATAAACAAAGCTGTGGGAGTGATTAGGTTAAAAGAACACTAAAGCATTAGGAATACAAACCTGTATTGATAACACTATAGTGGTCTACCCCCCCCCCACTCCAGACTTACTCCATGCATCTGCTCACAGGCAGCCCTCATCCTGTTCAACCAAACCAGTGCTTCTCATCCAGAATTATTGGGGTCAAGAAGCACATCCAATCATTCTTTTCAAAGGAAACCATTGAATCCAATGCTTCCATATGATAAGCATTAGAGGAGGTTCAAAGTGTTCATGCAATGTGTGAGGATGTCATATGTCACATAAGTCTCACTCTCTAATAGCCATTGAAGTACCCGTGGCTGTCAGACCTCCACCAGGGTGTGTTTAGCCCTGCGATAGATACATTACTGTATCTACAAAACGGCAGTGTTTTACATGGCAGAACTAAAAGTACAGTGCCTTGTTCAGATCTAGTTCTAGTGGTACTGTAATGTTCTGTGTGTCCATCCATCTTACAGTAAGAGGAGTGATTGAGGAAGATGATGGGTGGGCCAGTAAGAGTTTGTTGTTTGTGTAGACGTTAGTCATTTAGCCAAATGCATCACAATCGTCCAGACAGGAGTTGTGTTTGAGTCAGGGCCGGCCCTGGCTCCAGGCGGCACTTTTACATGGGCGGCATTTTGCCGTCCCGGACCCTACGTACTCCTAGATATGGACTCTCGGGTGGGCTGCTGGTAGTCCAGTGTGTGGTTCCGGCCTGCACTCTGACGTCATCGCAGCTCACCGGACCACAGGGAGTCCACCAGCAGCCCACCGGGCCACCAGGGACCCACTGAACCGCAGGGGGAGGGGGGGGGGGGCAAATAAATATAGAGAGATGGTGAGTGACTAAGTGGAGAAAATGCCAGTATGTGGGGAGACTGTGTTTGTCTCCCCACACTGACTAAAAATGCACCCTAACCTACCTAAACTTGTCACCCTAACCCTGTCACACAAACCACCCTAACCCTGTCACAGTAACCCACTCAACCCTGTTACCATAACCCCCTCTAGCCCTTTACAATAACCCACCTAAACCTGTCACCCTAACCCTGTCACTCTACGCATCACTCTAACCCTGTCACACTAATCCCCCCTTGCCTTGTCACGCTAACCCCCCAACCCTGTTGCCATAACCCCCTCTAATGCTGTCACACTAACCCTGTCACCCATACGTCACCCTAACCCTGTCACACTAACCGCCCTGTCACACTAACCCCCCCTCTAGTCCTGTCACACTAACCCCCATAACACTGTCACCCTTACCCTCACCCTAACCCCCCTTCTTACCCTGTCACACCAACACCCTCCCACATTCACTTACCACCTCTTACGCTGTCACACTTACCCATTATAAAACAATGGTAAATACAAAAGGTAAAAAAGTATACAAATGCTACAGTCACCTAGTGTAGGTCACCCAAACCACACAATAATAGTGAATAAAAATGTATATAAAAACTGGTGAGAGCACACTAAAAGTGTGTATATAAAATACAAGACAATATTACCATCAATAAGTAGATACCTAAAAAGATGATAAATGGTAGAACATAGTGAACTCTGTATGTACAATAAAAGATGGTGTAAGTGCAAATCGGTCTCGCTCACAATTTGCTGAGCCAACTAGAGTGAACTCAAACTAAAAGCGCCTTAGGAATAAATATAGTTGAGATCAGGAATTGGCAGCAATAACTGGATGCTCCGCAGGTTGCTGGATATAGATTCTCCCTTTGGGTTCCCACAGAGTTGAAACCACGATGATAGGAAGTGACCAGGAACAAATTTATTATAAAATATAAAGAGATCTCAGATATACAAACACATAACTGCACTGACGCGTTTCGACAAATCGTCTTTACCAAAGTGCTCTGTGAGCACATAGATCATAATAATTATGTTTCATATACGAGTATTTGGTGTGAAATGAAAGCCCTGTTTCTCCTGAACAAAATGATATATAATAAGTGTGGGTGAACTTAATATGAAAGAGGTGAATTATGGTTGGACAGACATATAGCGCAAATTCCAGATTTTGTTTACATTTTGTTTTGATCAGAATGTGTACAATTGGCTCTGTCCTTAAGGGGTTAATCATTTCTTATTTTTTTTAAATGTAATGGGAGGAAGAAACCGTGCTGGAAACACATAATATTTTGGCACATTTGTTTCTATTTCCTCTCACCTGCAATGTTTGCCATGGCTTTGCCTTGTGTTATTGGATATATACTGTTTATACTGGTTTATGGTTAAACAATTAACAAATGTTTTAGATTTCAGAAATTGTTAGTGGGCTTTTCTCCCATTTGATTCCATTCAGTTTGTGCGATTCTGTTTTCACAGTCATTATGACAATGCACTCTTACACAACATCTGCTGTGCTCCCCCGTGACCTCCTCCCCCAGCTCTCTCTCCCCATGTCGCCCCCAACCAGCTGATTGTCCGCTTTCCATCCATATTCTGTGGATTCTGTGCAGTGATTGAGAGGTTACGTGATGTTGTCTGCGCCTCCCATATCCTGTGTTGGTGATCAGCAGATTTGTAAAGTGTGTATAAAGTTCATGGCAGCAGTAGAGCTGATAGCAGCGTGGATGGGACTGTGTGTGATCCCTGGCACCTGTCACTGACTGTCTGATTCCTAGAAACTTCTCTCCCAGGAAGTGTGTAGAGTGTTCGCAGACTCTGTGCTTGGTGACTGTTATTATCTGTGCTATATACAGGTTACTGTATATTATATTCCAATCATTATACAGCACCGTGTGTATTCTGTCACTAGTTTGGGGTACAACAAATAATCCTTTACCCGCCTAAGCAACTAAGCCACGTTATCTGTTAAGGAGAATTGGGGAGGGAGGTGACAGATGAGTTCACTGTTTAGATCTGTAAATTGGCGAAATTCATGGAGCAACATTTCCTGTATTGGATGCGGGGATGGGAATACAGGGAATGGCATTGCCTGTTTGGGGTACAGCAGTGGTTTATAGGAAGCAGCGTTGCTTTAAGGGGCGCGGGAGTGGTATACAGAAAAGGGCGTTTCCTTATGGGGTTCAGGAGTGGTCTACAGAAAAGGGCGTTACCTGTATGGGGTACAAGAGTGGAATGCAGAAAAGGGCGTTACCTGTATGGGGTACAAGAGTGGAATGCAGAAAAGGGTGTTACCTGTATGGGGTACAAGAGTGGAATGCAGAAAAGGGCGTTACCTGTAGGGGGTACAGGAGTGGTATGCAGAAAAGGGTGTTACCTGTATGGGGTACAAGAGTGGAATGCAGAAAAGGGCGTTACCTGTAGGGGGTACAGGAGTGGTATGCAGAAAAGGGCGTTACCTGTAGGGGGTACAGGAGTGGTATGCAGAAAAGGGCGTTACCTGTAGGGGGTACAGGAGTGGAATGCAGAAAAGGGCGTTACCTGTAGGGGGTACAGGAGTGGTATGCAGAAAAGGGCGTTACCTGTAGGGGGTACAGGAGTGGTATGCAGAAAAGGGCGTTACCTGTAGGGGGTACAGGAGTGGTATGTTACCTGTAGGGGGTACGGGAGTGGTATGCAGAAAGTGGTGTTACCTTACAGTGTGCGGGAGGGGGGATATAGGGAGTCATGTTACTCGGTGGGGGTGGATAAAGGGAACTGTGTTATCTGTATGGGGCATGAGGGGTAAAAGGAGCAGTGTTATCTGTACTGGGCACATAGGAGGGGAATACTGAGACACAGCCCCAGACAGATACATGAAAGATGTTAGGAAGTGGAGTTTGCTAGCTGACCTGCCCAGACATCGTTTCCATTAGCTCTTAAACTTACGTTTTAATCGTAACGATATCTGCCGTCCTGAAACTAATCCAGATTCCTCCGTCACCTAGCCAGATTCTGCAAGGCAAGCAGCATTGCTAGATTCCTTTTAATGACTCAAAAACCACCCCAATGGAAGCACAGACCTGGCGCCTACTAAATGCTGACACTTCAGTGCCTAGAGGCGCTCCACTATTGTACAGACTTCCTCACCAGCAAAGAAAATAGCCATTAATAGTGTCTATCGTCTCCTACTCACCTCAGGACCACTATGGTGCGAGACGTAAACCTCAGATGCATCACCCTACCAGACAAAATACAAATTATGTCCACATTAAAAGGTAAATAATCTTTAACCTTTTGAGATTTCATTACCTTCTATCAGGATCTTACAAGGACCACCCTTCTTCTACAAAACCTTTTGGTCTAGTCGCGGCCCAACTGAGCTCTGCAGGAATATCCCACCGATGGTGTGCAAATAATGATGTTGAAGTTAGCTTCTTATTCGCAGGCTGAAGTTAGCTTTTTATTCATCTAACTTTTTTATTCATTCAAAATGTATGTAAATATTATGAACTGTGCAAAATAAATATTACTTGATTTAATATAGTATTTATATGCAAGCCATATTTCTACACATTTCTGATATAATAATGAAAACAATAAAAAGAATAATCAATGTTATTAGTTACATAAATTAAGTTGGCTTAATTCCAATTGGCTCTTGTTTCTGTAAAGTAGTACATTTTATCTTCCTCTTCAAAAATAAATAACACATTTGCCACTTAAATGGGGCATCAAGATGCCACCTTCAAATCAATGCCATTCTAACTAAATCGTGAATCCATGTTGGCATTGATTTCTATACACTGCACACTCCTCTTCGTCATACAATAATATTTAGCCTGAGCCAAAGCACTTTTCATATGAAAACCTGGCACCATCAACTCAGCATGCATTTCAATAGGGATTTCTGAATAGGTGAAGGACATTGGGGTTGCCCCCATAATTACTGCATAGAACAGTGTTTCAATGCCGTTTCTGTGGTAATGTGGTAAACCTCCATGGAAAGAATGGCACTCTGTAGCTGGTGCGTAAATTTTGTACGGCACCAGTTAACGGTGTTAATAGTGGGCATTGAATGATCAATGCCTGTTAATAGAACTCTAAAGACATGTCCTGTGTTAACATGGGGATTTGAATATAGGGCATTATTTTATACACTGCCATTACAGATTATAAGTTGGCATCACATCATCTCGGTTATTGGTTACCATCAAGAGCTGTTAGGTTATATGTTCTGGCTTAATGCCACGTGTATCACGGTTTCATGTTCACAGTGTGGATGGCCACATTGATTAGCAATGCATCACTGCCACTTCAGAGGAGTTCAGGCGCCAAAATCTCAGGATATTGCTAATTGGCTTAATATAAAGGTCCAGTCAATTCACATAACTGCCCTGAAATGTGTCTACCCATAAATGTTTCTCTAATGTTTAAAACCACTCCAGCACTTATCTACAACCCTGCAACTTTCTGTGTGCCGTGTCATTCACACCACACACACCACGAGGGGGGAATCAGTGCATAAATGCTGTGTGGCCAAAATAAAATCAATTTACTCCCAGAACCGTGTGTCGTCCAGATACTAGGGGAATATTTTACTGCTTATTTCAACTACGAAGACTACCAAGCGAAGATACCTGTGCTAGGTATTGGAGCTCTGCTACAGTTTTCATATAGGAAAACTTTTGGTTACTTATTCAGAAATCCCCATTAAAATGCATTGAGTTGATGGTGCCACTTTGATGCCAGTTTTTTTAATCGAAATTGTAGTTTGGCTCAGGCTAAATATTATTGTATGACGAAGAGGGGTGTGATTTCCTTGTATAGAAATCAATGTCAATATGGCAAAGATGGATTTAGTTTAAATGGCATTGATTTGAAGGTGGCGTCTTGATGTGGCCAATGTGTTATTTATTTCTTTTTTTGAAGCGGAAGATAAAATGTACTACTTTACAGAAACAAGAGCCAATTGGAATTAGATAAATTAATTTATGTAACTAATAACATCTATTTTTATTGTTTTCATTATTTATATCAGAAATTTGTAGCAATATGGCTTGCATATGGATACTATATTAATCAAGTAATATTTATATTGCACACTTCATAATAATATTTCCATACATTTTGAATGAATAAAAAAGGTAGATGAGATAATGGGGCCGATGTCCTGTAATGTTCCACAAAAATGCACTAATCTAATGAAACATACCAACTGCCTGAGATATGTTCTACTGCTATTCAATGTAAAACCACTGTTGGAGCAGCGGAAACCTGACAGTTCACCCACAATGCTTCTTTTTGTACCTTTATTATGTGCACAAAAATACAACTCTTTAGTTCCTTAAAGTTAGATGATAATCTATCTTCTATCACTGAATAGGAAGCGAACTTCAGCCTGCGAATAAGAAGCGAAATTAATCATGTGCAAATGGCTCTTTGGCGGTGACTCTGGATGGGATGTCGCATTTTCCACCATCGATGGGAGAGGCCTTGGCTTTCTTGAGAACTCTGGGTCTGTCTATCCTGACAACTTCACCCACAGGACCGCCAATGGGGTCTTTGGACCCCTCTACGATCACCCGTTTTGTCCGAGGGCTAAGAGTTCATAACTAGCGGATACATCTGCATAACATGCATTCTTAGGTATTTGTGTCAGTAACTTTTCCGTTTTTGACTCCTGCTGAATATGTGATTTCCATGCACCTAAATTTGGTTAGGGAAAGGCAAGTAAGGCTGTGACTTGTAATATAGCCTTAAGGAATGAGCGTATGGGATTATCAATACTGTCTGCATGTAATGTAGAAACTGAGGAACCCATCGTGGTGGGTTATATCCCCTATGGTTACAGACAGTTCAATGGTAAAATATTAGGTCCTTTACATCTGATTACAGGATGACGTGTTAACAACAGACCATGAAGAAAAGCTCTATTGGATAAATGTAACAATTGTAGTAAAATATTTGAGGCTGATCTCAAATAAAACAAGTATACTCTTAAACTATTCAAAATTGTAATGTCTTAGACTCGTGTATATATTAACAGAAAAAAGGGAGGGAATACCTCGCTCAAAAAAATAAAGAAAGAAAGAAATTTCAAAATAACTGCTGACCACAAATCGTCTAATACACTGTGAATCCATGAATATGTTATAGTGATATTGGAATTGGCCTAGAATTCAGTATATGCTATGTGTTGACACCCTTGAAATAAGCCATAATTACATTTATTTAGTTAAACAAAAAACTGAGCCTTAAACATTAAAGGACCACTATAGTGCCAGGAGAAAATACTCGTTTTCCTGGCACTATAGTGCCCTGAGGGTGCCCCCACCCTCAGGGTCCCACTCCCGCCGGGCTGAAGGGGGGAGGAAGGGGTTAATCCCTTACCTTTTTTCCCCCGCCGGGCTCCCTCGGGACTGGGACTCTCCTCCCTCTTCTTCTGTCTTTGGCTGAAGGCGCATGTGCGGCAAGAGCAGCGCGGCGCATTCAGCAAGTCTCATAGGAAAGCATTCTCAATGCTTTCCTATGGAAACTGGCGTTTTCTAACTGTGAAAATCACAGTGAGAAGCGCTTCTAGCGGCTGTCAATGAGACAGCCTCTAGAGGCTGGATTAACCCATAGGTAAACATAGCAGTTTCTCTGAAACTGCTATGTTTACAGCAGGCAGGGTTAATCCTAGATGGACCAGGCACCCAGACCACTTCATTGAGCTGAAGTGGTCTGGGTGCCTATAATGGTCCTTTAACTGTAAAGAAAAAAACCTTTCTAATATGGACAATGCGGCTGTCATTAACAGTCAAATCGAGAACACCTGGAGTGCACCGCAGTAAATACAGTCAATCAATATATGGATACTGTATCAACTAATATTGCAGTTGTCCTCCGCTGTTGTAACCAATTGTAGTTTTGGGGTATTTTATTTTGTATTTTTGGGGGGGGGTGCATATTTATTGTATTTTGATAGTATTTTGTGCATTTTCTATTGTGTGTATTTTTAACACTCCTGTGATGCTGAAAGATGTTTAAAAACCTAGAATACTGGCCATTTCACCTGTGAATCTATGACCTGTGTCCGCTTTCACTCCTGGTTTGAAAGCTGTGTGTTACCGCAGTGTGATTGGCATGTTTTGGGGATGGATTTATTGTGTGTGTATGATATAGAATGTTTGTTTATGGTGAGGGCATTAAACCTGATTCTTTTCTCTCAGGTCAATTTATTTATTTACCTTTTTCCCATTTTTTTTTTTTTCAGCCTGGAGTTCCTATACCTGGGCGGTAATTTCATCACATCTATCCCACCAGAACTGGCCAACTTACCATATCTCAGTTACCTGGTCCTATGTGATAACCGGATCCAGAGCGTTCCACCGCAGCTCGCACAGTGAGTCCACAAAGCTCATTCCATCATTTGGCTTTTGCATAGTCTGGGATATAGACTGTATAATTTATTGGCCTGACTATAACTATATGTAAATATTACAATATACATATTGGGCCTCTAGTTTAAAGGGACATTATTAGCATCCAGGCCATGTCATCTCAGTCCCTGTCCACTTAAGCCTGCAATCTTTTAGAGAAACTGCTATGTTTACATTGAAGGGATAAGACTGCCTCTAGTGGCTAGAGGCGCTTCCTGCTGTTTCACAGAGCTTACTTCAGTGAAACAACATTGGGCGTCCTTGCGCTCTGCGTCGTAATGGTGCGCAACCTTTTGAAAAATGTTATAGGAATGCATTGAAGGGACACTCCAGGCACCCAGACCACTTCTGCCCACTACCCTTAACCCTGCAGCTGTAAATATTGCAGTTTTCATAAACTGCAATAATTACATTGCAGGGTTAACTCCTCCTCTAGTGGTTGTCTTCCTAGTTTCTAGCACAGGTTTTCTGTGCTAGAGCGTTGCTTGACGTCCTCACGCTGTGTGAGGACCTCCAGCGTCGCTCAATTCCCCATAGGAAAGCATTTTCAATGCTTTCCTATGGAGAGGTCTAATGTGCGCGTGGCATTGCCGTGCATGCGCATTAGGACTCCCCCGCCGGCGGCCGCACGTGCGCGACTGGTCTCCCCGGTGGTTTTGGAGCATGGGCGGACCAAAACCACAGACGAGGGACATCGGCGGGGGTCTCAGGTAAGTCACTGAAGGGGTTTTCACCACTTCAGCAACATGGGATGGGAGGCTGGAGGGAGAGGGTACCTGCAGTGCCAGGAAAACGGTTTGTTTTCCTGGCACTGGAGTGTCCCTTTAAGGTAATGCATTCCTATGGGGAAGGACTAATGCACTTGGTGCTTGCCACACATGCCCATTCGGTTCCCTTTGTAATGACGCTTGATAAGGCAAAGCCAGCACCAAGGGACTTCAGCAATGGAAACAGGTGTTTTTAAAGGGTCAGTAACCCTTTGCATGCCATGAGGGGGAGAAGCAGAGGGACAGTATAGTATGAGAAATACAGCTTTGTATTCCTAACACTACTGTGTTCTTTAAACATGCCTCACACAGAATGATTATATTATAATGGGTAATGTGTCCTGTCAGCACACATCCATGTGGGATCGCTTTGCTTGTAAGCATTCAAGTTTTTCTAATGCTGAGTTGGCAATTTTTATCTAAACAGCCTCAGGGCAATAATGTATTTCAGATTTCCTTATCTGTGTTGCAGGGACAATATATTCTGATAAATCATTACCTGACACGGTTTAATGTCTATGAACTTCCTCCACTTATCGGAAACAGACCCTTGAGCTCAACTAATCTGAGGATAACCTCCAGACAGGACCATATTCTTTCTGTAGGAACACTGGGGTGTGATAGCACCTTCTAGAGGCACAAAGTCATATTCCTGGACAGGATTTCTATTTATTTTTTATTAACTGTATTCTGTATTTATTTAGTCGTTCCTAGAATTTGATTTCATTTCACAATTCCTATAGGTGGGTAACAGTGTATCCCATTAAAGGGTGACTTCCCAAAGTAATAAAATTAAGAAAGAAGGTGGTGTGCTTGAACTATTTAGATGTGGTATCTCAAACTGCAGTGGTCATGGTGCTTGGAGTAACCGTTTAACACCCGGTGAGTGTAGGCGATTGATGCAGAAAGGGTACATTCAACTTTCCAAGTATGTCTTGGGGTCTCCGACTATTACTGAAGTAAAATGCTCGGTGGGCTGAGGAGTGATGGGAGTTGTAAGATTGTATATCTCCATTATTCCTTCCCCCAGGCTATTTGATTCCTTTGCTTTTGGTGCAGTATTCATTGTATTTTAGTGTCGGACGTCTGCGGATATCTCTCGTGACTGGGTAGGCAGCCCTCTCAGGATTCCCATTAAACTGGGTTGGTAGAGGATGGTATATCTAAACTGGACACCAGGAAAGTGAAGATTTTAAAAGCTACACTCCACCCTCTTATTGACCTGAATTGTCACACAGACTGCATCTAAAACTTGTCTCAATTTCATTTCTACTTCCACAAGAAAAGTGTGCTCTTTGATAGCTTTTTGTTTTACTCTGATTCTTTTTTTGTTGCAGGGTGTATTCTCTACGCTCACTCAGCCTCCATAATAATCTCCTGACATATTTGCCCCGTGAAATCCTTAGTTTGGTGCACTTGCAGGAGCTCAGTTTGAGAGGAAACCCACTTGTAGTAAGATTTGTTCGCGATCTGACTTACACTCCACCATCGCTACTGGAACTGGCTGGCCGAACCATCAAAAGTCGTGGCATTCCATATGGCCCGTGGGAGCTCCCTGAAAACTTACGGATGTATCTAGACCTGGCCAGCAAATGCCCCAACCCCAAGTGTAGTGGTAAGCGTGTACATTTCTGAACAATATAATTCTAAATATTGGGATAGTGGACTCTCCTGTTGTGTAAAAATGGCCTGCATTCATTATAATATCCTTTTATTATTAATGGCGGGGAACCAAATTTATTTTAAAATGTCTAACAGTAAACTTAAACATGTTACCATCATTCTGGCTCTAGAATGTTACCGCAGTGCCTTCATTATCATTTATACAGCGCAAGCTTCTTTTCATTGATACATTTGCTGGTAGTTTCTTTGGTGACAATAATAGAATGTATTGTATGTGTGGAAGGAGGCATTCAGATGTTTGTTTATACATAACCGATCCACTTTAAGTGTATGAAATTTGTGGTTTGATTTGTTAGTTTTGCATTGTCTTTCTTTCAGCAGGTGCAGAGTTTAAGTGTAAACTCTAAATTTGTCTTTTTTTGTTTTTTTTCCCCAGGTGTTTACTTTGATTCTTGTGTGCGCCAGATCAAATTTGTGGATTTTTGTGGAAAGTATCGCCTGCCTCTCATGCACTATCTATGCTCCCCAGAGTGCTCCTCACCCTGCTGTTCAGCTTCTCACAGTAGTGAGTCTGACTCCGAAGATGAGGCCAGTGCAGCTGCGCGCAGAATGCAGAAAGTACTTCTGGGATGATGTGAAGGGTTGACGCTTCCCCTGGTACCAACTGAATGGAAGAACCTGTCTGGGCAAGCGACAGTGTAAGACCGTTGTCTACTTCTTGTTACTCAGCGTCGGTTAATCCTTTATTGTGGGGCCATGTGCCAAATCCCATATCTGGGTCAGAACAGGGTGATCCAGCACCAGATCCCGGTGTGCCATTTGAACTCTGACACTGTGGGCCCCTCTGTAGCTGCACCATGTACTCTGCCGGTCTAAAGGACAAGGAAATGTGTAGCCTCTTCTGGAGTAAACACAATAAGATTCAGAGACTGGAGTATTCGATTAATCTCCTCCATTAACTTTACAATAACCACCATGTTTAAATCATTGCTGGTTGAGGCTATTCTCTATTAACTTAGGGCTCTGGTTCTATCGTTGTTCTGTCATTGTTGTCTATCGTATGACATAAACTGACCTTGTGTGGCCTTTCCTCCTCTCTGGACACCGTGGTACTTCTTGCCCAAGTTCAAGTTTAAACCTGTTTAGAATAATGCTGTCTCTTAAACAACTGAGTGACACTTGGCATATTACACAGAAAAAGAGACACCGACAACAATAGTGTTATATTGATACATGTACCATGTACATGCTGTGGGTTCTAGAACCCAGTAAAGACTCTGATGCACACAATGGGTACCTGGAACATAGCAAACCTGCTTCAGAATCCATCTGTATTGCATCCTGTAAGCAGTGTACAGCCAGCACTGATCGGGGTCCTTTGCCTAGACATGTGTCATGGGAACCACTGCAGGAGAGACAGAGCTCGACACTTGTCAGTCTTGTAAATAGACAGTTTATTTCCCCAGACCTGTCTGTGGGGTATTCTGTTTCTTTTTGTAAATGATGTAACTATAAGAAATAACCTGTTACTACTTCAGTAGTGATTATCTATAGGGCCAAGCCACCACTGCCCCACACTTATCTTTATAAGGTGAAGAAATCCAGGCTGTCAACATTTTTTGTTTTTGTTTGCAGCTACGTGTCTGGTTTCTGAGAACGAACCCAGGAATTGCAGCAATAATTTGAAGAACATAAAGCATTTAATAATCAGACTTGTGTGGTGTTTCATTTTGTTTTTCATTGTAGTTGGTTATTTGTTTTAATTGACCTTGTCTCCTATAAATGGCTTTAATATGCAATACACTCTTTTAACAGTGTTATATATATTTTTATGTCTTGGATAAAATGCAGCAGGTCCAGGATGGGTTATATATTGTGTGCCAGTGATATAAAGCAATGCAGGGCACGCTCGTTATGGATTTACGTGGCTGATCAGAGACATTCCAACCATTTCATTATTACAGTATGTAACAGACTCCATAAAATGAATATTTGGGTATGTATTGGTAAGGATTGGAACCACCTGATTTCCACAAATAAAGACTAATGGTTCATATGTGATGATATCCTGATCAGACCAAGGCTTCTTGTAAACACTGAGAGTTAGTAAAAATGAATGTATCTAATGCTCCCAGCTTCTCTGTGGCCCCAATTACAAAAGCAACTCACTCATGTACGCTTTTGATTAGTGCAGGACCTCCACAAGCATGTGGCCTCCGACAGAGGCTCTGCTTACCCTTCCTTAAAGTTAGGCATGAAACCGTGTATTAAAAAAACAAATTAGAAAACTTGGGCTGAAATATCCAAGTTATGAGCAGGTTGGAGATATCCCAAAGCAACTGCTTTAGTCTGGCTATTGCCATTAGCTTTTGTAATCCACTGCTAAGTGAATATGCTTTAACGTGTTATATAGTATACAGTGTACAGTTTACCCTCTTAAACCCATACACTTTCCAACTGAAAAAAGCATCACTCTCTGCACTATGCAAGGCTGTGTACTGATAAACTTGGCAATTATGGTGAACCAACTGACTGCTAAATTAGCTGATTTATAAAGAGAAAGATTGGCTATCCTAACCTGAATTTTGAAATTTAGTTTATTTCACCGAATAGCATTGCAAATTTTATGAGCACAGGAAACAAATCTAGTACCAAAATGTGACATAATGCTGCATGGAACAAAGAGAAAATCCTTGTAACATATAAGACCACACAGACCAAGCGTACAAACCGCCATTCATTCATCGTGTTTTCTGGATAATGGGAGGGGAGCTTCTCAGCCCAACAACATGTCTATTTACTAGGAGAGATCCTCAATGTATTACTGTTATTCTGGTTTCGTAACTTGCAGGTCCCTAATCTATTACAACCGGCACACTCACCCTAATAGTGCAAGTGCAAAAAATAAGGGAATTAAATGAAATACTATTTACCCTATTTATCAAAAATCTATAGTAGATACAACAAGGATTCCTCAGGTCCTCAAAACGTCAAATAAACTAACAGTATATCAACAAAGAGAAATGAAACACAATTGGGCAGTGCAGTTGGTCCAACATAAATAAATTTGATTCAAGGATAAACTCTCAATCTTTGGTGAATTAGAAAGCCCATCACATGAGACATAAACTCCAGATATGGAACATCTTCTTCGGTACTCAGAGGTACATGTAAAAGAAGTAATAAAAATACATAGTGCAACACCTTTCAAGAGTCTGGCTGCTTTATTGTGATACACTTACAAGATTAAAATGTAAATCAATCACAAATCTGAAGAACTCACTCGAAATGCTAACATGCAAGTACTCCGATCATAAAATTTTGCTTTTTCAAGTATATGTTAAGGCAAAATGTATCTGTATAAAATAAATAAAAAATTAGTTGTGAACTTAAAACAAAGCTCAACGCGTATTGTCTTAGTACCAAGACTTCCTCAGGAGAAACAAAGGGCATGATGTTCGTGGTGCATTTTATACCCTATTATGTCCACCCCCGGATCACCTCTTAGCCAATCCGTTTACTATCTTCACTGTTTGTTGATCTGGACTTTGTTCACACAATTTCTTATGTTCCGAGACATTGTATTGAGTGGAACGCATTAAAATTTTGTCAATAAAACAATGCCAGAGCACCAAGTTTGCTCCAAATGGATTGCTGTTCCAAATATGCCTTTTGTCCCAACAGTCAATAAAAATGTTGATCGCTTGGGGCAAACTTGGTGGTCACCATTGAAGCTAAAAAAAAAAACAAGAAGATGTCCCTAATATCCATGTATGTGTTTAAAATTTACTAACTTTTTACTGGCCCAAAATGCCTGAACTAGAAAAATGATACAACTATGTATGTATGTATTCATGCCTGGCTGTATTTATGTGAGCATGACTGACGTGAACAACGTGAGCAGTATTGGCTGGCTGTATGTATGGGACAACGTGAGCAGTATTGGCTGGCTGGCTGTATGTATGGGACAATGTGAGCAGAATTGGCTGGCTTTATATATGGGACAAGGTGAGCAGTATTGACTGTATGGGACAACGTTAGCAGTACTGACTGACTGTATGGGACAACGTTAGCAGTACTGGCTGGCTGTATGGGATAACATGAGCAGAATTGGCTGGCTGTATGTATGGGACACCATTAGCAGAATTAGCTGTATGTATGGGACAACGTGAGCAGAATTGGCTGACTGTATGTATGGGACAACGTGAGCAGAAGTGGTTGGCTGTATGTATGTATGGGACAACGTGAGCAGAATTCGTTGGCTGTATATATGGGACAACGTGAGCCGTATTGGCTGGCTGTATGTATGGGACAACGTGAGAAGTACTGACTGACTGTATGGGACAACGTTAGCAGTACTGGCTGGCTGTATGGGACAACGTTAGCAGTACTGGCTGGCTGTATGGTACAACTTGAGCAGAATTGGCTGGCTGTATGTATGGGACACCATTAGCAGAATTGGCTGGATGTATGGGACAATGTGAGCAGTATTGGCTGGCTGTATGTATGGGACAACGTGAGCAGAATTCATTGGCTGGATGTATGGGACAATGTGAGCCGTATTGGCTGGCTGTATGTATGGGACAACGTGAGAAGTATTGGCTGTATGTATGGGACAACGTTAGCAGTACTGACTGGCTGTATGGGACACCATTAGCAGAATTTGCTGGCTGTATGGGACAATGTGAGCAGTATTGGCTGGCTGTATGGGACAACGTTAGCAGAATTGGCTGGCTGTATGGGACAACGTGAGCAGAATTGGCTGACTGTATGTATGGGACGTGAGCAGAATTGGCTGGCTGTATGTATGGGACAACGTTAGCAGAATTGGCTGGCTGTATGTATGGGAAAACGTGAGCAGTATCAGCTGGCTGTATGTATGGGACAACGTGAGCAGAATTGGTTGACTGTATGTATGGGACAATGTTAGCAGAATTGGCTGTTTCTACGGGATAACGTGAACAGTATTGGCTGGCTGTATGGGACAACGTTAGCAAAATTGGCTGTATCTACCATGGGCGTCGGCAGGAATTTTTCCAGGGGGGGGCATAATTGTAATGACATCCATGCTTGGTACCTTTTTGACAGTGTCATGAAAGGGAAGGGGCATAGCCATTATCACATAAAGCCAGGGTGAATAGCGTTTTCACAACTATGGTGTCAGGAATATATGTTTGTATTCCTGACACTATAGTGTTTCTTTAAGCAACACTTACCATTCTGGTCACCATAACAACTATACCTAAATGAAAATGCTATGATGCCAAGAAGCCCCTGGGTGCTCGCTTTCCTTTAAGGGGTTAAATCACTCTCAAATGGTTTAACCCCAAAGGCTTCCTCCAGCTCCAGGTCGCTCAGTGGTATTTGGCTTCTGAAACAGAGTGTCAGGAGGTGCAGATTGACGTCAGGCATGGGTGCCGCTGATTGGCTAGAGTGGACAGTTGACGCTCTAAGCCAATCGTTAGTTCCCGGTTCATAAAATATTTTTACTTTTTTATGAATGGGGAGCTACTGATTGGCTTAGAGTGCCAGCTGACCGCTCTAGCCAATCAGCAACACCCCTACCCAACGGCACTCTGTGCTTCCTGACACTCAGTAAATAAAAGTGAACACATTAACACTGATATTTTTTTACCTTTGGAGATGAGAAGGTCCAGCGTTTCCCTGCCAGGCCCAGGTACCAAAGCCTTATGATGTGGTGTCCAGAATAAAGTGGAGGGTTCACTTCATTTGTCCTTCATTTGTTCCTGCTCCAATCTCCTTCATTTGACAGTCTTTTTTTATCTTATGACACTGTTTTCTATCCTTGGTCCCTTCTGCTATTTTACCTTTCTGCTACTTTCTGCTTATTTTGCACCCTTCTGCTCCTTTCTCATTCTGATCCCTTTCTGCTCCTTGCAGACCCTTTCTGCTCCCTTTTCTACTTTATCTTTGTGCTCCTTGCTGTCCCTTTCTGCTCCTTCTCCTACTTTAACTTTGTGCTCCTTCTGATTCTTTCTGCTCCTTTACCTTTGTGCTCCTTCCTGCTCCTTGCAGGCCCTTCCTGCTCATTCTCCTATTTTACTTTTGTGCTCCTTCTGCCCCTTCCAGCTCATTTATGACCCTTTCTGCTCCTTCTACTTTACCTTTGTGCTGCTTTACCTTCCAGCTCCTTGCTGACCCTTCCTGTTCATTTCTGTTCCTTTCTGCTCCTTCTCCTACTTTACCTTTGTGCTGCTTTACCTTTCAGCTCCTTGCTGACCCTTCCTGTTCATTTCTGTTCCTTTGTGCTCCTTCTCCTACTTTACCTTTTGTGCTCCTTCCTGTCCCTTACAGCTCCTTGCTGCCCCTTTCTGCTCCTTGATGTCCCTTCCTGCTCATTTCTGTTCCTTCTCCTTTTCTTACTTTACCTTCCTGCTCCTTGCTGACTCTTCATGTAGGCTGTCTCCCCCATCCCTCACTTCCATAGGCGTGCGCACGGGGTGTGTCGGGTGTGCATGGGCACACCCTAATCCCCGCGGCACGCCAATGGATTGAGACCGGCAGGGGATATGGATCTCCCCGGTCGGCTCATGCAGAGCCGACGCTATCCGAGCGGCGGCTCTGGTCTAAGCCTCCATGGGCCGGTGGGGAGATCAAAGTTCTACCTCACCGGTCCACAGCAGCATGGAGGGAGGCAGCAGAGAACCCGGGCTAGAGTTCACTCTCCACTGAACCACCAGGGAAGGCAGCAGGACTGGGATATTAACTAATCTGCCCCCACCTCCACCCAAACATACAGAGCACACACACACACACACAGCACCTACACACAGCACACACAGCCCACAAACAGCACCCACACACATACATCACCCTCGCACACAGCACCCACACACACCCAGCACACTAACAGCATCCTCACAAACAGCACACACAAACAGCACCCTGACAAACACACAGCACACAAACAGCACACTAACAGGACCTGAACAAACACGCACACACAAACACCCTCTCACACACACACACACACACAGCACACTACCAGTTCCCTCACACACAGCACACAAACAGCACCCTCACACACAGCACTCTCACAAACACACACAAAAACACCCTCACCCACATATCACACTACCAGCACCCTCACACAGCAGTGTAAATATATATATATATATATATATACACACATACATATACACATGGCGTGTGTTTGTGCTTTAGGGTGCACACCCTATTGCAATAGGCTGCGCACGCCTATGCTCACTTCCCTAATCTATAGGCTGCTGCCCCCTCCCCCAAATCTATAGGCTGCTGCCCCCCCCCCAAATCTATAGGCTATCTCAAACCCTCCCCCCATCCCTCACTCCCCTAATCTATAGGCTGCTGCCCCCCCAAATCTATAGGCTACTGCCCCCACCCAAATCTATAGCTATCTCAAACCCTCCCCCATCCCTCTCCCCCTATAGGCTGCTGCCCTCCCCAATCTATAGGCTGCTGCCCCCAAAAATCTATAGGCTGCTGCCCCCCCAAATCTATAGTCTATCTCAAACCCTCCCCCCCATGCCTCACTCCCCTGATCTGTAGGCTGTCTCTGGCTGCATGTGTTGTTCCCCTGCGGTTTCAATCAGCAGAGAGAAGCAGGGATAAGATGCAGCTTCCTATCCCTGTCTCTCTCCTACTGGCCGGCGCCGGTATTGCAGTTCATTTTAAATCTCACACGAAAAATAGCAGAACAAGCTGAAAAATCCAGGGGCAACGGAGCCACGGACGCCCATGGTATCTACGGGACAACGTGAGTAGAATTTGGCTGGCTGTATGTATGGGACAACGTGAGCAGTATTGGTGTGTATGTACGGGACAACGTGAGCAGTATTGACTGGCTGTATGGGACAACGTTAGCAGAATTGACTCTATTTATGGGACATGAGCAGAATTGGCTGGCTGTATGGGACAACGTGAGCAGTATTGGCTGCCTGTATGGGACAAAGTGAGCAGAATTGGCTGTATGTATGGGACACCATTAGCAGAATTTGCTGGCTGTATGGGACAACGTGAGCAGAACTGGCTGGCTGTATGGGACAACGTGAGCAGTATTGGCTGGCTGTATGGGACAACGTGAGCAGTATTGGCTGGCTGTATGGGACATTGTGAGCCGTATTGGCTGGCTGTATGGGACAACGTGAACTGTATGGGCTGGCTGTATGGGACAACGTGAGCCGTGTTGGCTGACTGTATGGGACAATGTGAGCAGAATTGGCTGGCTGTATGTATGGGACAACGTGAACTGTATGGGCTGACTGTATGGGACAACGTGAGCAGTATTGGCTGGCTGTATGTATGGGACAACGTGAACAGTATGGGCTGGCTGTATGGGACAACGTGAGCAGTATTGGCTGGCTGTATGGGACAACGTGAGCCGTATTGGCTGGCTGTATGGGACAATGTGAGCAGTATTGGCTGGCTGTATGGGACAATGTGAGCAGTATTGGCTGGCTGTATGTACGAGATAACGTGAGCAGAATTGGCTGGCTGTATGGGACAACATTAGCAGTATTGGCTGGCAGTATGGGACAACGTGAACTGTATGGGCTGGCTGTATGGGACAACGTGAGCCGTATTGGCTGACTGTATGGGACAACGTGAGCAGTATTGGCTGGCTGTATGGGACAATGTGAGCAGAATTGGTTGGCTGTATGTACGAGATAACGTGAGCAGAATTGGCTGGCTGTATGGGACAACGTGAGAAGTATTGGCTGGCTGTATGGGACAACGTGAACAGTATTGGCTGGCTGTATGGGACAACGTGAACAGTATGGGCTGGCTGTATGGGACAACGTGAGCAGTATGGGCTGGCTGTATGGGACAACGTGAGCTGTATTGGCTGACTGTATGGGACAACGTGAGCAGAATTGGCTGGCTGTATGGGACAATGTGAGCAGTATTGGCTGGCAGTATGGGATAAAATGAGCAGAATTGGCTGGCTGTATGGGACAACGTGAGCAGTATTGGCTGGCTGTATGGGACAACGTGAACAGTATGGGCTGGCTGTATGGGACAACGTGAGCAGTATGGGCTGGCTGTATGGGACAACGTGAGCTGTATTGGCTGACTGTATGGGACAACGTGAGCAGAATTGGCTGGCTGTATGGGACAATGTGAGCAGTATTGGCTGGCAGTATGGGATAAAATGAGCAGAATTGGCTGGCTGTATGGGACAACGTGAGCAGTATTGGCTGGCTGTATGGGACAACGTGAACAGTATGGGCTGGCTGTATGGGACAACGTGAGCAGTATGGGCTGGCTGTATGGGACAACGTGAGCTGTATTGGCTGACTGTATGGGACAACGTGAGCAGAATTGGCTGGCTGTATGGGACAATGGGAGCAGTATTGGCTGGCAGTATGGGATAAAATGAGCAGAATTGGCTGGCTGTATGGATAACGTGAGCAAACTCACAAACACAAACTCACATTATTTCACACTGCCAGTCAATCCTGCTCATGTTATCCCATATATAACATATGTCTAACACAAATGCAGCACCCTGCCAGTATTCACCCTGGAGGTCCATATCATATTCCTTTAACTAAAGAATACATTAAACTGCAATGTGCACAAAATACTTGTTTTTCAGTTGGTCTACTCAGCCACGAATAATCTCAGCATACATGAATGTCACTGTCCCTCCACCTGCAGCCGAAATGTCCCCTGCTGTCCTTGTTCAGTGTGAAGAAACGTCCAATCCATGGTCTCCTCTTGATCTCTTTAACCCTTTAAGGACCACATTTCTGGAATAAAAGGGAATCATGACATGTCACACATGTCATGTGTCCTTAAGGGGTTAAATACCCTCACCGCATCTTGTTTCCTTCTGCCTACAGGTTTTATTCTGCTCATCCATCGCACAGTGTGTGGAGTATACGGACAGTTTATTATGTCTGTTAGTACAATAACTGCATAGACTGAATGCTACAAATCATACTTACTATACTCCGAATTGTAGAAAAGGGAAATCTCAATGGAAACATACAGGTGATACTCAAAAAATTAGAATATTGTGCAAAAGTTCATTTATTTCAGTAATGCAACGTAAAAGGGGAAACTAATACATGAGATAGACGCATTACATGCAAAGCAAGATAGTTCAAGCCGTGATTTGTCATTAGTGCGATGATTATGGCTTACAGCTCATGAAAACCCCAAATCCACAATCTCAGTAAATGCTGGACTTTCTTCTTTAATTTTCGCAACATTCAATTTTTGACTTTTTTAAAGGCAAATAAAAGGCTATTAACGACCTTCTAAACCAGGGGTCCTCAAACTTTTTAAACAGGGGGCTTGTTCACTGTCCCTCAGACATGGTTGGGGCCGGACTATAATTTGAAAAAAAATTTGAACATATTCCTATACATACTGAAATAGACACATAGACACATACTAACATACAGACAGACACACGCAGAAGGACATACACACACATACATACATACATACTGACAGACAAATATACATACACACATACACACATACATACATACAAACACAGACATACAGACACATACTGACATACATACAGATACATACACACAGACATACATACTGAAATACACACAGACATACATAAACATACATACATACAGACAGATACTGACATACATACATACTGACATACACACAGACAGACATACTGACTGACAGACAGACATACATCAATCAATCATTGTTGCAGAAATCTACCGCCCACCTAGCTACCCAGTGCATTCCCTATCTGACATAGCCCATCTCCTTAGTGAAACCATAGCTCAAAATCCAAAAAGTGAACTGTTGGTCTTTGGAGATTTTAATATTGATTGGCTGAATCCTAAAAATAATAGTTCTTGCACGCTGTTTAATACTTTGCAGCTAACGCAATTAATCTCCTCCCCAACTCGCATAAACATTAAAAGCCATAACCATACCCTGCTTGATTGGATTCTCTCCACTTCTCCTGATAGAATCCAGGAGGCTGGTGTTCTCCCAAACACTTTCAGTGATAACTGTTTAGTGTACTGCGTGCGCAAAATAAAGGCTATTAAATCCACTCCCAAGGTTAAAATAACTAGGTCCTTCAAAAAATTTAATCTTGAATCCTTTCTCAATGATATCAAGAACCTCCCATGGCACAGATTAAACATTATCCCAGATCTAGACTGTATTGTTGAATTCTTTCAGTCTGAACTCCTACAAATTTGGAATTTGCATGCCCCGCTGCGTAAGGTGAGGGTAAAAGGGGCACATATGAACTGGATCACAGCTGACCTCATCCAAATGTACCAGTTTCGGGATTCTTTGTGGTCAAAGTTGAATGATCACTGTGCATATAGACAATGGTGAAATATATGCTCAAAACAAACAAAATTGGCCAAGGCCCAATATTTCTGTGAAAATCTGAACAATATCATCTCAAACCCTAGAAACTTTTGGAAAGTCATAAATAAACTACAAACTCCCCCAATCCACTCCCATCCCTCCACTGTCAAAGTGGGTAACCAAACCCTGCAACTTCCCTTAGATGTAGCAAATGCCTTTAACAATTATTTTGTCGGATGCTTTACTGCCCTGATTGCCAAGCTAATAAATGACACGCATCCTGAAACTACAAATGTGGATCAGGCCCCACTAAATTTGCAAAGGCCCAATGTAGACAAGTTCATTTTTAGACCTGTACCCATTAGTGTCGTTAAGAAACACCTTAATAATCTAAAAATGAAAAACCAGTCTGGACCTGATCAAATCCCAGCAATGCTGTTGAAGCTCAGTGCGCTGGCAATTGCTAAACCAGTCACAATCTTAATTAACGAATCCTTGCTGTCTGGATACATACCCAAACTTTGGAAGACTGCGAGAGTAGTGCCTATCCATAAAAGTGGTGACATTACTTTGGTTTCTAACTATCGCCCAATATCATTGCTCCCGGTATTGTCAAAAATCTTAGAAAAATGTGTCCATACGCAACTATGTGAGTATTACCAACAATCAAACTATCTGACCCCTGATCAATTGGGCTTTCACCAGAATCACTCCACTACAACTGCCCTATTAAAAGTTTGCAATGACATTCATACTGGCATGGAACAAGGAGACCTAACTGGAGCTATTTTCCTTGATTTTGCAAAGGCCTTTGACACAGTAGACCACGACATTCTACTGCACAAACTCAAAAAATCAGGTAATGGTGATTGTTCGCTAACCTGGTATGTATCGGACCGCGCGTAATATGTTTCCGTTTCTGACCGCGACTCCCTCCCTCTCCCAATCACGCGTGGTGTTCCCCAAGGTTCCATTCTCGGCCCCCTACTATTTACATTATTTATAAATGATCTGCCTAATGTCTGCCAATCCTCAAATGTACACATGTACGCAGAAGACACAGTGATATATCCGAGCTACCGCAGCTTGAGGCTGTGCTCCAAGACCAGTTTACAGAGGTAGAAAAGTGGATCGTAAAAAACAAACTCTTCCTAAACACTGACAAAACTGTCACAATGCTCTTTGGAACATTACCTAAATTACACAATTTCCACCTATCCATCAAAACAAATTCAAATGGCACACTGACTGCAGTCCACTCTTTCAAATACTTGGGTATGATATTAGACCCCAATCTATCTTTTGACCTCCACATAGAAAAGCTTGCATCTAAACTTTATCCAAAACTAGGTGCCCTGTACAGAAACAAACCCTGCCTAAGCCCTACAGTAAAGGAAAAGATTGTACAGCAAATGCAGATGCCAATCATTGATTATGGGGATGTAGTATATGCATCTGCATCGCAATCCCTCATTAATAAACTCAACACATTGTATAACTCGTTCTGCCGATTTGTGCTACAATGTAATTACAGGACCCACCATTGTGACATGCTAAAATAACTAAACTGGCTGTTGCTGGAATCCAGACGCACCCTTCACCTTTCCAGTCTTGTGTTTAAGAGCTTTTCTGGGAAACTCCCACCCTACCTGAACAAAATGCTTTCCCCAGCTTTTCCCACTTCCTATAACCTCCGATCCAGTACAAGCACTTTACTTAGTCTACCTCAATACAAAAAGAAAGCAGCCCGATCCTCCTTCTCCTACAGAGCGCCGCAATTGTGGAACGACCTCCCGCACAATTTAAAATCTTCCCTAAGCCTAAAGTCCTTTAAGAGATCCCTCTCTACATACCTCAAAACAGAATGCACCTGTCATGGTTGATTATATATTTCCTGCCTGTTCTATGTTCAGTTTTGTATTTATTGTGTATTAATATTGTTTTTGTATTTTATTGTAACCTAATGTAACAATGCAATGATTTGTGGACCCAGGACATACTTGAAAACGAGAGAAATCTCAATGTATCTTTCCTGGTAAAATATTTTATAAATAAATAAATATTGACAGATGTTACTGTTAAAATCAACATGTAATACTTGTTTTATTCACTGTTTGGGATATTGTGAGAGAAAATTATCCTGCAAAAAGGTTTCCTGCAGTGTGATAGCCAGTAAGGCCGCCGTAACCAGAAGGTTCGTAAAAGCCACCATAAATCATGTATAAAAGTATAAAAGTTCTGACACTCCAAGACCAGTTCTCAGGTCGCTTTGGGGCAGAGCCAGAGAATTAAGGATTGCTGCTGATTTAAGCTTTTCTGTTTTTGTTGTGAAAACTCCCACTGACAGAAGACAAAGGAAATCAGATTTCGTCCCATCGAGGGCGAGAGTAATGTTAAAACATCACATACCTGAATCCCTGCCAGGGTATCGGCTTCTGTGGCAGGAGAGATGGAAATGATGAATGTGGCGGAACCAGCCTCACCACTGGGCATTGGAGAAGACTGATTGCAAGCCTCCTGCCCTGAGACTATGGTCCCATGTTGAAATGCTGGATTTTCCACTGCAAAGACTCGAAAGCCGGGTCATTCAGTACTTTCCCTATGTGAGCAGTGTTACCCCAGATAGCTATGCCATGGAGCCCATTCGTATAACGAAAGACTATATGAAAGACTTTGGCTCCATGGCAATTGACAAACTGTATGTGATCTGAGCACCATTCAGTAATAATTTGTGCTTAGATCTAAGCTATCTTGGGATATGTTGAATGTACCCGTTTTATGCAATAGCTGCACAGTTATATATTTTTATGTATTTTATTGTATTTTGCTACCATGTGGCTAATGGAGTTTTGCCTCTGTCCTTGGAGATAATTGGATTACTTCCCAATTATCTCCAGGATAGAAGACTCTGTGGAACTGGTTTTGGGAAGAAAAACCATGCATCATTTTGTCAAATAGGACTTTCCCTTAACTTTTTAACCCCTGAACCGATTGCCCTGATTTTTGAGTATGTGTATATTTTAAGCATGCGGATTCTGAAAATGTATGTTTTATGTGAATGGCTGTATATTTTGGAAGTTATTAATATTTTGTAAAAACTGTATTTCTCTGCCTGTGATAATTATATTACCCATTGTGTTCAGTAATCATATCACAGGTAGTGATGTCGTGAACCGTTCGCGAACTTCCCGCGAACGGCTCGCCACGGTTCACCACGAACCATTCGTGGTGAACTCCGGTCAGCTGACACATCCCGGCCAATCTCCAGCAGACCCTCCCTCCCAGACCCTCCCACCTCCTGGACAGCATCCATGTTGAAGGCAGCTTCAACATGGATGCTGTCCAGGAGGTGGGAGGGTCTGGGAGGGAGGGTCTGCTGGAGATTGGCTGGGATGTGTCAGCTGACCGGAGTTCGCCGCAAACTGCCGCGGCGGGCCGTTTGCGGGAAGTTCACGAACGGTTTGCGACATCACGAATCACAGGCAGAGGGGAGGATTTTGTGTGGGAGTGTCTGTGTGTATTGTATGGATTGCTTGGTTGTATTTCAAAACCCTGTGGGCAGTGCTATGTTTGTGGATTGTGAATAAAAGAGGCTGTATGTGCCAGTACAGTCAGTTCTGCTTGACCCTGGGGGAATCTGCTACAAGGGATTGCTGTGCTAGTCATACTCCCTTGCTATATCACTACTAAGCTCTTGTAAGAGCCTGTTCCTGTCTTGCTCTCTGGAGGAGTCTACATTGGTTATGGTGTCGGCTGCAGTGCTTGGAGCCCTCAGGAAGCACTAGGAGCATCCTTCAACGGAGGTACCCAGTCGGGGTGCCAGGTGATCCGTTACAATGAACTTCATAAAAAACAGCACTTAAAGGTATAAACATAATTCTGTATTATTGAAAACTGAGACAAATTAAGACATCACATCTACATGTGTCTAAATGCTCCCAAGAAATAATTAAGCGGACATTCCTAGCACCACAACCACTACAGGTTAATGGGTGCAGACATTAAATTTTCTGTCAAACATTACTACATTTTCTGTCAAACCATTTTCAAGCAGTTTGCACTAAGTAATGAGGCTTTAAATCCTTTCCCCTGGGCCTCACAAATCTTATTCCAAGGAATTTGTATTTCTTGGTATTAGAATCATTCTCCTGGGCAGGATACCATTGAATGGTAACTTGGAACTCCGTCCTAGAGTCAATATCATCAGTAGATACTCGAGCACTCTTTTCTAGAGTTGTTCTCATGGGTAGGATACCATCAGTTGTTACCTGGGCAGTCTTTTCTAGAGTCTCTCTCATGGGTAGGATAACTTTACTCGGTATCCGGGCACTCCCATCCTAGAGTTATTCTCACGGTTAGGATATCTTCACTAGGTACCTAGGCCCACTATCCTAGAGTTGTTCTCATGGGTAGGATACCATCTGTTGGTACCTGGTCACTGTTTTCTAGAGTTGTTCTCATGGGATACTGTGACAGACCTCTCTGTCTTTGGATTACTGTTATTTCACCTTGATTCGTCTGTTTGTTCGGTATTTGCCAGTGCTTTGTATGGTTCTGCTTTTATTCGCCTAAATACGAATAAACTACTGAATGGCAGGCCACCCAGCAAGGAAGTGTGCTGCTTGTTAACCTTTCTGCCCTCATTAACGTTGTGGTTAACCGCAGACACTTCCAACTCCTGAACGGTCGGCTGAGTGGTCGTCGTTCGTATGAACGAACACATGGCGGTGGCCATCTTGGACAGTCGAATGCCCTGCGATGTTCGTCGACAAACTCATGGAACTAATATTGGACACTATTTTCAGCGAACACCGCTGAAGTCGCCGCCCCTTCCTCATTCTGTTCCAGGTTCATACGAACGCCATGCCGTTCGGTACATTGACTATACACGAACAGAACTGCCCCAGATAGCCATCCCATGGAGCTCATTTGTTTCGTCGAAAGCACCCTGTACCAGACTTTAGCTCCATGGTGATTGAACTGTATGTATGGGATCTGAGCGCTGTTCAGTTATATTGAGCGCTCAGATCTAAGCTATCTGGGGATACGTAGCATGTATGGGTTCCGTTCGGTAGATTTAGAAATATATATTTTTATGTGCTTTTGCTGTTCATATAAAATGGAGGATATTCTCTATTCCTGGAGGTAATTGAGTTACCTCTAGCACTTAACCCAATTATCTCCAGGATAGAGAGGAGAAGTTGAAATGTTCAGGTAGGAGTGTTTATTACTGTACATGTATTTGATTGGTTGCTGTACAAAACGGTCTCAGTCTTCCACAAGGTCCCTGTGCTGCACGACCTGCATAAAAGACGGGCATGTAGCCCACATTAAACAGATCCTGCTTGACCCTCAATACAGAGCCTCGTCTCGTACTTGGGGGGATTATTTGTGTGTTTCCTGTTCGACGCTTAGGAGTGTTCGGTAGTTGACTTCTCATTCGGGAAAGGGAACATCTTTGGCGGCATTAACCCCTTCTATACCCGGGGTGCCGTTACAGATACCATCAGTAGGTACCTGTGCACTCCATCATAACATTGTTCTCCTCATGGGTAGTATACCATCAGTAGGTCCCTGAGCTCTGTCCCATGGTCTCATCATTGTCCAGTGATAGTAAGTTGAAGGAGGCCACACTCACCAGGCTACAATGGTGCACCAGATCAGGGGCAGGCCAGACCCCCCCTCCACCCCCCATTGAATATATTAAATAAAATGATGGTTCAGGAACTCAAGTAGATAGCATAACAGTAGCTTTACTGGGGAAAACACAGAGCAATATTTCGACCCAACCAGGTCTTTGTCAAGCTTGAAAGACCCGGTCAGGTCAAAATGTTGCTGTGTGTTTAACCCAATAAAGCTACAGTTATGCTATCTACTTGAGTGCCTGGTCCTTCACTTTATTTCACATCATCATTATCCAGGACATCTTGAGAAGTATCTGATTTTCCTCTCACTGGCTAGAATATCTCCAGTAACCAACTATGCACTCCCTGCTGAAGTCTCTAAAGACCAGGTTTTGAAGACCAGTGGAATGCATCTTAATACGCCTGCCATAGGGAAGAACATGTTTTCCTGTATTGGCTTGAACATATACTTGCTCAGACTCCTCACACAGTCACGCGTGTTCCATCAGTCTTGCCTTAACATTCTTCAATAAATATTTGTACATTTCACAGAGTCTGAACAGCAACATTCTCTATAACACCAGCCACTAATTTTGGAACAAGGGGAGTGTTCAACATTTACCTATAGCATAAAACCATATATCAGAGGAAGACTTTGTGACATCTCCTGAATACGTGAATAATGAGTTTCATGTTTTTAATCCAGAGTCGATGACTGATTGTCTTTTTATGAGTTTGTCCCTTTAACAGGTGACAAGTTCCCTTTTCCGGGGGATTTAAAGTCGCTGTGAAGGTGGACGTGTTCTGTGTAATGTTTATTTGCAAACAAATCCTGAGGTGTTGAAATCTTTTTGTGTCATACGTGAATCTATGTCTTTCTCTGGCTTAACAGAAATTTTTAATAGGATGTTTTTTATTGTCACGTACCAAATGAATGGACAGACACGGGTAATAAATAGCTTTAATGTATAAAGCATTGTACTGCTTTCATTTTCATGTTTTTAAATTAAAAATCCTTTGCTGGTATGAAAGGTTTGTGCTGTTTATTGAAGAGATTCCTATCAGGTTGGGAAAATTTGAGGCAATAATGGTATTGAAACGCACTTTAATATTACTTTAGTTTATTTAATTGCAGTAAATAAGAATTATATGAAAGCTGTATCATACTCCATTACATTAAAAATACTTTACTCTGATCTGTATTGTGTATAAAGCATTCGCCTTGGGGGGAAGAGAAAAAGGAACTCTGGTCGAGATATTAAGGAGTTACATTCTCATTCATTAATTTAAAAGCCCTGCGATACAGACGTGTCACTGAACAGAACAGGCTATTGCATTCTGGAGATTCTAAGCAATAGCCCCCAAGGCTGCTCCAACATCCCTGACCAAGAGCCCCCAGATGCCCATTACTAGGGGGCAGTGTTGTTGCTCTCCAAGAGAGATGATACACACTGATACTGAAATGATGGGGCTGTGGCTCGGTGCCTCAGTTGAGGAAGTCCAGTATTAACCCGATGGAAGCCTCCCAACGCTTATAGTTATCATTATTAAAGTTAGAACTTGGTTTAAAGGAACCCTCAGGAACCATAACAACTTTATTTAAATGAAGTTGTTATGGTGACAGGAGGTCATGGGTGCTGTCGTATCTTAAAGTGAATCTATAGTGTTAGGAATACATAGTTGTGTTCATAACACTATAGTGCTCTCAATTCCCCCCTCCCTCGCGCCACCCAAACCCCCACATGTAAAGGTTTAAAAAACCATGTAGATAGGTAGTACAAGCGCTTTTCTGTGTGCTATTCAATTCAGATTATACCAAGTAAATATAATTGAGCTGCTATATCACCGTGATTATCTTTTTATCATAAGAATAGAGAGAAAAGTGAGGAGTATTGGTGTAGCGCTCTATAATAGTGGATCTACCGGAATAAGTAAACAAGAGACTTGGCTGTACCTTAAAGGATCGTATATGTTAATGGGTAGTCCCAATATATCCAGGTTAACCTTAAAAAGACATAAATGTACAGAACATAGTGTAATCTGTATACCGAATGTAAACAAAAATAGAGTGCATAGGTATCTAACTCACACTTTTTTGAGCTGTTATACTAGCTCAAGTATCTGCGCCTTAGGGTCCGTAAAGGCGACCCTTCCCCTCCTTTTCTTCCAAGGGTTTTTTCCAGGTACAATGTCCTAGGTGATAAGAGCAGGAGGAAAAAAGGATAGTGTAGTACCGTCTGGTATATATAGGGTATGTAAAGAAAGTAATACCAATATACTCACAAACCCTGAGCCTATATATCGGCTCACTTCATCAGGTATATGTGGTTAAGGACCACGTTCCTTCTTTAAAAATAGCAGGTAGGAATGGAAGCCGTAAGTGTGATAAAAAATATATGTATAATTTATTATAAAAAATTAATTAATGCAACATAAATATAAAATATGCATAGATAAAATCAACACTTGTGGCTATAGTCCAAAAATGTAATAAAGTCAGCTCACTGTTCCTCCAGGACGCGTTTCGCCGAAAAAGGCTTCCTCAGCTGGAAAAAGTGTTCATGTGGCTTCAGGGACTCCTTCCTGCTTTTATATCTGGTTCCAAAGGGCTTGTGGCTTGTTATTTTCCCGGGCAATCTCCATGGTAACGGAGATGCCCTTGTGTTTCAAGCCTCTCTTTGCGTCCGGTTACTTCCGGGTTACGTCACTTCCGGTTTCGGGCAGGCTTGCGGCATGCGTTCCACGGTGCGTTCCACGGTGCGTTTCACCATGTATTCC